TATTCCATATACACTATATTTATACTTGTAATTTCCTTTTTTATGGACGTAGGGTCCGGCCGGGGGAGGGGGAGTGCCCCCCCCCCCCCTATTTATGCCGATTTATACATAGCTATATTTTATGATTGGGTCTCCTAAATCATGTAATTTATATTTAACGTCTGATAACTTGATAGTGTCCATCTTAAACTGAAAATTTCTGAAATTTCTTCCAACGGGCCTGTTCATGGATAAAAAGATATGACCAGTGCTTTTGAAAGAAAAACTACAACACATAAAAATCTAAACATCAACTGGTGAACAATTTTGATAATTAAGAAATGTTTTATTTAAAAAAAAATAAACGTGTTACAAATGAGCTAACATCTTTGCATTTAGCAAAAGATTATTCAGCATATATCAATCACTTTGATATTTTTTTACTATGAATAAATGAAACGTCTGCAAGTTATGAATATGTGTAGATTTATAAAAATTATAAAGATAGAGAGACTCAGTATGCATTCAAATTAAACATCCATTAGTTAATCTGATAAAGATAATCGACAAGTGTTGACCTGACCAGCTTCATTCATTTCTGTTTTGCTGGACATGAATGATGCATTCGAGTTTGGCCAAATGTTATGCAACCTGTAATGTATAATGTGATAATAGACAGATCAGCTTCAATACTCTGGCTTGTTTGGGTGTTTACTCTTCATGCTCTCCAATTGATAGTTAAGATAGTATGAAGTTTCCAAGATCAAGTTATCACAAGAATTCTATTGAACGACTTGACTAACAAGCCTTGGCTAAATCTAGTACTGTCTGACGCCATGACGTCAGACAATAATTTAATAGAAACATTGCTAATTTATACACGTTATAACGTCTGATTACCTTTTTTTTTGTTAAGGAATTTTTGCTTAGTAGTGCCCCCCTCCCCCAACTTAAAATGTTTGGTTGTGACCCCCCAAACTGAAATTGCTTCCTAAGGACCCGTTTACAGGTCTTCCATCCCAGTTTTTCAGACCAGAGAGCTACAGATCTGCAGCTAGTGTTCATAATACTTTGAGTCTTTTGTAGTAAAACTCATTTTTTGTCCTTCCTCTTCATCATTTGTTGGAGCATTTTGTGTAAATAATCAATACCAAATTCTAATGTAAGATGTTTTTCTGGTGTCAAGCCATAAAAATGAGCAAAGTTCTATCAAAATATGTGAGCATGCGTACCCCCAAAAAATCTAAGGAGTTACAGAGAATAGATCTTAAGCAAGTGTCCTCTTGTTTAATATGTAGATTGTAGTAAGAATCTTTATTAGCTCACCTAAACCAAAGGCTCATGTGGTTTTTTCCTAATCAGAGTGTCTGGCGTTTTGACAACAGATTGTAATAGGTGGTGTTACTTGTGTAAATACGCATAATTTAGAGGATTGATGCATGAATGATAGAAAGCAGCAAGGTGGAAAAGGCTTGACAAACCTGATCTAGAAGAATCAGGCGGTGGAAAATGTGTTCTTTGTACATCAACGGTAAAACCCTATCTCCAGTGATAGGGAGGCACTGCATCGCTTGTTGTAGAAGGAAAAAAAGGACGAGCAACCCCCCCCCCCAAAAAAAAAAATTAGATATGTTATTTTATTTAGGCATATGCAATAAATCCTTGTCTTTTGTCCAATAGAGAAACATTTACTGAACAAACTCAGGCCCGTAGCAACGGTTTCAAAAGTTCCCCCAAAAAATCTGACAAGCAAAATAAAAAAAAAAGAAAGAAAGAAAAATAAATAATTGATTTTAAAAAATTTAAAAACCTGACCAAAAGTGGGAGGGGGTGGCAACTTCCCAAAATTCTGACAAGCAAACAAAAGCTAATTTACTGTCCAAATCCTGGAAATTGCCAGTGCTCGACCTTACAACATCAAAAAGTGGGGGGTGGGGGGGGGCACCAGCATCTAAATTTACTAAAGTAAAATACTATACCCAGAAAAAAGTGGGGGTGGCTCCCCTGCCCCCCCCCCCCCCGGCGTTCTACGGGGCTGAGATTCATAGACTGTGGTAATGTTTCTTTGAATTCTATTTTTTAATTATTTATTCATTCATTTATTTTAATTAGGGATGTCAACGAGTACCCGGTTAACCGGGTACTCGATCGAACGTCCGAGTATCGAATACTAAAAATGGTACTCGGTTACTCGGATGTGTATTTTTTTCTTATTTCAAAGTACATATTTTTATCAAAAACTTATCAAAAAATAACTTAAATATGCATACGGGTAATTAGCATGTCGTCATCTACACATGTAAACACCCGTTATTGCCTATGGCTGTGTATATACAGTAATTAGTGACCAATCACCTGGTACACAGCTTTTCTCACCTATTGTGGTCCTTTATTTTTTGATGGCTTCAATGATTGTTTTTTCAGTGAACATCGTGGTCTATTATGATTTATCTTCAAATCATTTTAAAACTATTTACTTAATATACGGCAGCGAAATTGGACATGCATAGAAATGCCGCTACCCACTTCAAAATTAGTAAAGATTCCAAAAAAAAATGTTTAAAGTCAGTTTCCCTAGTAAGTTTAGTGTATACGGGGGAAACAACCAACATATGGGAAAAAAAATAAATAAACTAACGATCTAAACAACGTCCGTTCCTTCTCTATCGCTAATCTAATCATCACAAACTTCGTAACAGATTGTCCTCCTTTTGCGTTGATGAAATAGATCCTAAACAAGAACTGTAAACTATTTGTAATTTTTGATGTATCAATTGTGTCTTTTGTATTTATTTAGTACAAAAATCATTTCCCTTGGACCCCATGTTTATATATAATGTGATAAAAACAGCTATTGGGTTTAACAAATTAACAATTAAAAATTGACAAACTTGTATTTACATTTTTAACGAGTACCCGGGAACTCGATCGGAAAAGCGTCCGAGTAACCGATTATCAAAAATTGACCGATTTGACATCCCTAATTTTAATTAAATTTATTTCTCTTGCTCTTACTAGTTGTCCATTCACAGCTTTAACTTAGGACATATTAACTTTTTTTAACACTACTTTTTAACGATGAAGATAACAGTTAGGTCAGACAGAATGTCCTGTAAATGACATATGTTACCGCCCATGCTTTGTTTTCAAACAAGACTACAGCTTATTGTAGATGTGCCACTTTACGAACTTGGTCGTACAAAGATTGATAGAAAACTTCAATGTAAGAAGAAAAGGTTTTTTAGTAAAGCTTCATTCATGCTGATGATTATTTGATTATTCAAGGTCTTCATAAACGTTAATCATTTAAGTTTGTTTCTTGATATTGGAGTTCAAGGCGTTCCTTGAATATAGAGGTCATCAAATTGACACTTGTGTTCATACTGGCTCATTACAAGGTACTGAACTTGAATAAACAATTTTAAATGCCAGATACAGATTTTGTTCCAAACAATTTGTTTTGTTTTGAATTTAAATACATGTGTACTGCACATGTATTTAAACAATCATTTCTAATTGTCGAGTCGTAACACTAAGGTAAGTCTATAGCCAGATTTTGGGTTTCTTTTTTTAACGAAATGATATGGGTGAAAATATTTTAAAAAAGTGTAGATATACATTAAACTTTTATGTTGTCATCGATCAGCAGGGATCTTTTGTATTTGTCTAATGGACAATAGCTTACAAAAAGTTTGTAATAACAATTCCAGACAGCTTGATTAACCAAAAGCGGAGAAAATATCAATCCTCATCAGATATACTTTAGATAGACAGATTTACAATGTACGTCAAAATGTATAACCAAATTTTAAGGGGGGGGGGGGGTCATTATTCTGATAATTTAGTGCAGCCGATATTTGGTATTTTAATGCGTATCTAATCGTAGCCAGTTTTCGATATCTGGGAGTATCGCTTGATGCTGCTTGTCTTTTTATGGGCAACTTATATTCTAGCACAGACCGACGGGCTTTGATGGAGGTGGGCTCACAAATAGCACTATGCACTCCTTACCAGTGATTAACACTTATGGATTTAGTAGGATTAACTTTGTTTCACCTTCCACGAACCCACAAGATATACTGTTCTTTAAATGACCTGGATTATGTTACTAGTATATGTTGTAATGGATTGGTGTGTGCATGTAATTAAAAACACTACTAATTAAACTCCATCATATGCATTTGAACTCTATTTCAGTAATGAAGTACTCTTTCCGCTGTTATCGAACTAGAGCGCAGTCAACCATCCTCTTAAGTGTTCTCGCCATGTGTTGTATTGTATATCTTTTTGTCTCTTCTAGTGGTACGTATTTGTGTGATTTATTTCATTTAACTTATATAAAAGATATTTTTAAATAATTATATATTATTGCAATATTTTTTTGTAAGTATAATATAACAAAATTATAGGTCTTCAAGTAATATTTGAAGTACCTGACTTCATGATTACGAAATTACAGATGTAGACAGACGACTCTAGAAAATTTCTAAAGTCAATATGCTACATTTCAGACACGAGTTCCCATTGTTCATACATAACTTCTACACCCCAAAATCAGCTTGGAGTCCCTTATCAAGTACCACCCTCCATGTTGCTAGTTAACGGTACAACAAGGAAAGGCAGATCCAAAGTTTCTTCTACTTTTAGGGTAATTTTTTTCTGATTAAGTGATTATATTCCACAAACCCGGTTTGTGCACAAACCCGTTTTGTGGAAATAGAATTCACACTAAACCCATGGCTTGCGACGATTGGCCTTGCTAAACTATGAACCGTAAGATCGAGCTAGGTTAATAAAGGCAACAACTGCAACACACTTGTTTCCATATCATCGCAGGAAAGTACTAGTGTTCCATGAAACTGACCAATTCTGAGTCTAGTGATTCAAGATTGTAATATGTTTTGCTACAAAATTTTGTTTGGAATAACCAAGTAAATCTCAAACTTAAATACCTTCTTCACCTTGACTCCTATAGTAATCAAGATACACATATGTATGTGTCAATTTCAGGAGGACACGGGTTTACCACCTATGTTACAGGAGGGCCCTGACAACTTCATCTCCCAGAACGAAGCAGAGTGGTCATCAAATACAATGCTCTTTGGACAGCCAAAGAATTCCATTGGTACGTGTATCTTTAAAATAATTCATTACTATGAATGTATAGCGTATAAAATTCTTACCCATTATTTTTTTCTTGCACTGCACATTCTAAAGATGAAGTGACTGAAGCATCAGCACCAGTGATCGGTACTGTGGTATTATGGTGATCAAAAGCTTTTTGCTCATTTCTTTGTGAAACTAGCATTCACACATAATGTTTTATCATTTGTTTTCAAAGTATGATTGCGCTTCAAAAAGTAATCCCACTCTCATGCTAAAAGCTTCTCTGTTTGTTTTGCCCCTCCAGTCACTGTATTGGTCCAAACGGTCTAAAACGCTTTTTTGCAGAATGTTGTTTGTCCTGGTTTGGTTAAACGAATGACATCAAAATAGGAGCATAGTGATTAATCCATTGCCAAAACTCAGCATCAAATGATCTGTTGGAGGGGCGTTGAGTCGTAGGACCCGTCATGGCCGTAGGAACCGGGGGGGGGGGCACAGGGGGGCCGTCCCCCCCAATAATTTTGCCGATATATAGAATACTATAGAAAACATAGCTGCCATATGCTTGTGCCCCCTCAATAATAACGTCTGATGACCTTTTTTTCTTTTTTTTTTTTTTTTTTTTTTTTTGCTTGTCAGGGAATTTTGGTAGTTGATAGTGCCCCCTCAACTGAAAATGTATGGTTGTGCCCCCTCAAAGTGAAATTGCTTCCTACGGGCCTGCCCGTACTGAAGCACTAATGCGATAAAAAAGAATCCTGCATTGACATACTTTGTAATAACATACCTAAGTTCTTCTGTACTGCAACTATATATAGTTTAAAACCGGCATACCTTCTCCTTCTGGTTGCCGAAAATAGACGTCTTTTGACTATGTCTTATACCCTATCCATACAATTAATCAATCAATCGAACGCACCACTGTGAATAAATAAACCAATTCTTTCAAAGTTTAAAAAAAATGATACGCATAATTATATAGTAGTTGAAATCAAAAGATTGTAATACACTGTATGTGCACCATAAAATCCACAATAATTTATTCTTTTATGTATTTCAGGTTATTTAACTATTGGCATACCAGTGGTAAAAAGGAAGCTAGAGGGCGCGTTATATGTCTACTCTACTATATCATCCATCATAAAGGCGACAACAGACAGGGAAAAAGAAAATATAACTCTAGTTATTTTCTTATCAGATTTTGATGAAACTTGGAACCTTGATACAAGTCGACGTATCAGTGAGACGTTTTCAAAATATATTAAGACAGGGTTTCTTCAAGTGATTCACAGTCCATTAGATATTTATCCAGAATTAGATAAGAAATTCAATGCTAATTTCAACGATGACTCCAAAGACAGGACGATATGGCGATCAAAACAAAACATAGATTTTGCGTATTTGATGTGGTACAGTAGACGGTTTTCCCAGTTCTATCTACAACTGGAAGACGATGTGGTTGCAGCCAATAACTTTTTTACTGATATTAAACTTTTTATTGAGCGAAATCATAAGATTCGTTGGATAACATTAGAATTTTCTCGGCTGGGATTCATTGGAAAATTATTTCGGTCCAAGATTTTGTCACGTTTTGCTACATACTTGCTGTCTATGTATAATGTACTACCCTGTGATATCCTTTTAAACAATTTCAGAGTTCTTCATGATCAAGTTTCAACCATTCAAAACCCAAAAGGACTCTTTCAGCATATTGGAAAAATATCATCATTGAGGGGAAAACTTACGCCTATAACAGATTTCACATTTAAGGACTCGTTCAACTACAGTTCTTTTGATATTCCTGGAGAAAATCCACCAGGAGAAATTTTTACCAATATGGAAGCAACATTCGGATCTTTTCCGGAAAATGCTTACCAAAGAACTGATGGCGATCCATTCTTTTCAGTTGCAAGCTTAAAAGCTAATAATCTATATAAAATAGTGTTCCCTGAACCAATCAACATAAGTAGAATCATTGTATCTACAGGGCATCCAATTCTAAGAACCGGTATTTTAAAATGGGGTGTTGTAAAAGTAGGAGTGGGTATCGGATATCCAAAAGAACAATGCATGGCGTCTCATTTGGTGGGAAGGCTGTTTGAAGGTGAATTCGATTCAGAAATACAGGGGTATTCTATTCCATTTAATGTGAAGTGTATTGCTGTTGTATCAATACGGGACAAACCAAATCTAACGATTATACGGAAGATTCAAGTGATCCTAGATACTTTATTTTAAAAAGAAGAAATAACCGTATTAATGTCTATACATATTTTCTTTCGAACACTTAGCATTCTTTGTAAGTTATGACCATCATATATCTATATAGTGTTTGTAAAAAAAGTTCTCTTTAATTTGGTCTTAAACGACTCGCATAGCATGTCTATGATAACTGGCATTTTTAATGTATGTAATAAGATTAACTCCTTAAGTAGATTTATAAAAATTCAAGATTCCAAAGAGTAAAGTATACAATAAAACGAAGCCATAGCGTCTTTGAAAATCGTTTCACTTCGGATTTGTATGAATTTGATTTTTATTGTTTGTAATCAGTGACAAAATTCAGTTTAAGGAATTCATTCATCAAAAGTGTGCTCATGAAATACCTGCTACACTGTACAGTGACCCAGACTACTCTCTGCGAATTTTATTCAAGACAATCTGTCTGTCTTGACCCATACATATATAGGTTATAGGTTAGAACCGGTTTTCAGCAACGGATAATTGCTATAGTCTGTTTCAAAATTTAAATACCTTGGGAAAGATGATTGATTAATGTTTTACGCCGAATCGGCACTATTTCAGCCATATATTGGCGATAAAAAGTTATATCATGTGGCCAGTTTTGAAAGTTTTGGGTTTCTCTGGCGACCCCCAGTGAGTTGGGAAAGAGGTGTTTTGGCTACTACAATGATTTTTAAATTTTCCGGAAATAAGTTTTATACATCGCAATGAAAAAAAAAATAATATAGAAAATCGGAAAACATATTTACCGATTAAAGAAATTTGAATTTTTTTTAGAGAAAATTCGAATACATTTAATCTACGTATAGTAATTAATTAAAACTAAAACGTCTTATAACGTTTCTGTTTATAAATGTTTCCAGGAGCCTGGTAACACAATACCGAAAATAAAAAGGTTTTGAAAAAATTCGCAGGGGGGAGGGAGGGGGCACAACTTTTATATTTGATATTTTTCAAATTGAATGAGAGATTCAGAACAAAGTGGGAACAAGATGTGTTTATGAAACACTGATGCCCCCGTATGGCAGCTTATGGCGAAAGTTAAAGTTTGTCAAATGCAAGTCAAACTCCAGGTCAAGAGATCAAAAATGTTGGTACCCAAAGAAAGGACTTGTCTTGAGGAATATACTTGTGAAATATGAAAGCCCTAGCACCAACCGTTGAAAAGTTATGGCGAAGGTTTAAGTTTTTTATAAGTAAGTAAAACAGCAAGGTCAAATGGTGCCCAAGGGAAGGTCTTGTTACAAATGATACACATGATCGTGAAATGTGAAAGCGCTAGAACCAAACGTTCAAATGTTATGACCAAAGTTAAAATTTTTTTTAAAAAGTTCAAACTCCAAGGTCAATGCCAAAACTGTTGGTATCCAAAGGAAGGTCTTGTCACAAGGAATACACATGTGAAGTATAAAAGCCCTAACACCAACTGTTCAAAAGTTATGGCCAAGGTTAAAGTTTTTCAAAACTAGGTCAAGGTCAAAGGGTCAGGGTTGTTGGTATCTGAAGGAAGGTCTTGTCGCAAGGAATGCATATGTGAAGTATGAAAGCCCTAGCACCAACTGTTTAAATTTTCAAAAGTAAGTCAAACTCCAAGATCAAGGTCAAAGGGTCAAAGTTGTTGATATCAAAAGGAAAGTCTTGTCTCAAGGAATGCATATGAGAAGTACGAAAGACCTAACACCAACTGTTCAAAAGTTATGGCCAAGGTGAAAGTTTTTCAAAAGTAGGTCAAACTCCAAGGTCAAGGTCAAAGGGTCAGGGTTGTTGGTATCTGAAGGAAGGTCTTGTCACAAGGAATGCATATGTGAAGTATGAAAGCCCTAGCACAAACTCTTCGAAAGTTATGACCAAGGTTAATGTTTTCCAAAAGTAGGTCAAACTCCAAGTTCAAGGTCAAAGGGTCAAAGTTGTTGGTATCCAAAGGAAAGTCTTGTCACAAGGATTACACATGTGAAGTATGAAAACCCTAGCACTAACTGTTCAAAAGGTATGGCCAAGGTTAATTTTTTTTTTAAATTAAAGTTGATCAAACTCCAAGGTCAAAAGGTCAAAGTTGTTGGTATCTGAAGAAAGGTCTTGTCAAAAGGAATGCACATGTAAAATATGAAAAACCCTAGCACAAACTATTCAAAAGTTATGGCCAACGTTAAAGTTTTTTTCAACAGTAGGTCAAACGTCAAGGTCAAAGGGTCAAAGTTGTTGGTATCCAAAGAAAGATCTTATCACAAGAAATACACATGTGAAGTTTGAAAGCCCAAGCACCAACTGTTTCAAAGTTATGGCTTAGGGTTAAAGTCTCATAAAATTTTGCAAAAGTGGGTCAAACTCCAAGGTCAAGGACAAAACGTCAAATATGATAGTACCCAAAGAAAGGTCTTGTCACAAGGAATACACATGTGAAGTATGAAAACCATAGCTCCAACCAATCAAAAGTAATGGGCAAGGTTAAAGTTTTTGCGGACAAACAGACAGACAGACAGCTAGACAGACAGACGGACGGACAGGGCAAAAACTATATACCCCCGAATCTTCGATTACGGGGGCATAATGACTGGACTTTTGATTCTGGTTAAGTTATTCAAGGTGAAATTAAAAATATATTACAAAGTCCATAAATGACTTATCGAAAACATCGAGATCAAAGCAAGCCAATGATCAGGACAACAATTAATCTAGAAATCGAAAACGAACGGACCTAATTCTGAGACCCAAATACAATATAACTGAGAATATGATATGCAAATGTATATCTGTCTTTGTACTGTAAAGCAGAATTATAGGATGGGGACTCTCCTTCCCATAAATTTCCGAATAGAGTGAGTAGCAAGAAGAAATCTACCTTCATTTCGAAGTATATACAAAACTTAACTAGTAATATTTTAAAGGACAAAAAGTATCACCATTGAATAACTAAAGCGAATGGGTTTTAAGATTTGTCCAAACCCTTGGTAAGAGCCAGACACTCAATCTGCGCTTTTCACAATAAAAAAACAAATCTTCGTTTGCATGCACTTAATTTTATTCTTCTATAAATTATATCTAAGTATTTAATGTTTAATTCAAGTGTAGTTCACTTGTAACTGATGATTCTAACAAAAACTTATGTTAAATAGTTTTTCCGCATCACTCCTGACCATGGTGGTGGACTCTTTCTAACGAGATCCTTTACGGAAGCAACAAACACATTCCATTTTCCTGGTTTCTGGGGAGTACACAAATATCTCCTCCAAGAGATCTCCCTCCCTCATAACCAAAATAATTTTTCTTTGTTCGTAGGCGTTACGGACACTACGAGGGGAAAATAATCATCCTTAGTGGTGGATATATCAACAACTTATTCTGATAAAAGACAAATGTTTGGCTATACTCACAAGAAATACTTGTATTTAGGAGGAATCTGTTGAGTTTCTGCGTCAACTTTTCGAAATGGAACACGGTCTACAATGAACAACAAAGAATGCCGTTATTAATAACAAGTGTCTATATTTAATCAAAGTACTGAAAGTACTACTACGAGTTGATGGTATTGATTATATAATGTTTAAATGAGTTGAGGTCTCTAGTCCATATATGGATTATGTGATATTATGTGCATTGATGAAAACTATCACTTTAAAATCCTTTCTCTTTGTTTTCTTTGATTGATTGACTGATTGTATGTTGTTTTACGTCCCATTAGAGAATTTTTCACTCATATAGAGACGTCACCATATACTGGTGAAGGGTTTCAAATGTTGACCTTTACTCGGCACTCGGGGCCATTGAGTAGTGAGGGATCTTTATCGTGCCAACGCCCACCTTGACACAGGGCCTCGGTTTTTAAGGTCTCATCCGAAGGACTACAACTTTCACTTCAAAGTGCCGAGCGCATGGCGAAGGAACAGTTGCTACGCATTTTTTATCAACTTAGGTCAGTCGCGGCCGAGATTCGAACTCACGACCTCCCGATCACAAAGCGTTGTTTTCTTTGAGAAATAAAATTATATCATTTTATTTATATCTTTTCCATCATGTATTTTTAATAGGGATTGCAATTTGTAACCGGTTAACCGATTACTCGGTCGGAACGATGGCAATCGATTAGAAAATCTGTAATCGGTTAATCGGAAAAAATAAAATATTTGTTAAATTGAACACATTTTTAAAAAATTTATTTTAATAAAAGAAATCTCTGCACAAAGGATGATCATTTAGGATTTAAAGGATATAATTTGGACGTACATGTAATTATGAATCTCCAGATTGAGACCGTTGAGTAATTGGTCAGTTTACGTAGTGTTAATTAAGTACTGTGAAAACACTATGTCGTTACCCCGACTGTCCTGTAATTCTTTAATGACAATAATTGAATCATTGAGCAGTGTGAATTGGTGTGTTTGTCGTTTTCAGTTTTCCATCCAATTTACTTGTAATTTTTAAACAAACATTGTAAATTAAGGGCTATATAGAGTTCACATGTAGTTTTGGTTATCATAGTAAAAATGCAGAAAGAACTTTTATGACATCTGCTCTGGAAAATTATTAAAGATTTTTTAGGGTTTTTTTTTCATGGTTTTCTCAATTTTTATTGTCGACTGAAATTGAAATAAAAAATATGTACCGTATTTTTCTGATCCAGAATCAAGACTTATGGAATGTTTTAACTTCTATCGTCTTATTTGGGTCTATTTGTGTATATGGACAGAGCTATACTTGAAAAGCAATTGTCAAGAAAACGTGAATTTTGATACGATTAACCGGTTAATCGGTCGGAACGTCTTGCGGTTAACCGGTTAGCAATTCTGTAATCGATTGCCATCCCTAATTTTTAACATGTATATATTTTTTTTAATATCTACTGGAATGTATAATAATTTATCACAAATCGAACCTTTAAACATACAAAACAAATAATACTAAGTTAGTTTTTGGATTTTCCGTAAAATGACAATGTAGCTTGCATTTAAATAATTTGTATTTTTACAAAATATTAAAGGATACCACCATCGAAATGGTCACAGAGCACAGACTATCATCATTAAAACTACCGAGAACAGTTTTTGGCACTCGATATCATTTGACAGAAATATCATATATCAAGTGACTTGAAATTTCAAATAAAGACAAATGGCACAACTCTTGTAAAATCATATTTCAGAATTAAAACAACTAAGTAGACAAAAAAAAAAAACAAACAAACAAAAAAAAAAAAAAAAAAAAAAAAAAAAAAAAAAAACAAGAAAAAGTTTTAAACACATATCTCAAACTAATAGGCCAAACCTACAATAGTATTACAAGTAGGGAATTATTATTTACAAATAGCGCAAATTGAATTATTTCATCAACATGCTCATTGAATATTTTTATTGCTTTCTTAAATTGACAAACAATTTAACATTTTTAATGCACATCAATATGTTCCAATTCTCGTGATTAAGCCAGTCTTAAAATTCATATCTTTTACTTTCATTTATATGTATATTACATAATTCAATTTTCTTGATTTAGTTACTATTGAAATTCAACTCCTTGTCTTTCAAAATTTACATGCATATTTGATATTTCAATTCTCTTGATTTAGCCACTCATTTATATGTATATTACATAATTCAATTTTCTTGATTTAGTTACTATTGAAATTCAACCCTCTGTCTTTTATGATCATTGATATGCACAATAAATATTTTAATTCTCTTGATTACGCTATACTCTTGAAATTGAACTTCTTTACATTTAACCGAAATGGTCATTTTATATGTCATTTCGTTTGGTTTAGTCACTCTTGAAATATAACTACTTGACTTTAATTGATATGCACATTTTATATATCATTTCTCTCGGTTTAGCCTTCTTGAAATTCAACTACTTGACTTTCACTGATACAAGTATGCACGTTAAAAAATTTCAATTCTTTCAGCTTTTCAACTGAAGACTTTAAATTTATCACAATGGCATGATATTGACTATTTACATGATCTATCTACTGTTGAATTAATTTGATTTCTTGATCTTTTCACATCTATAAATATGCATTTCACATTTAATTGATCATTAACACCCACTTAATTTTTTTTGTTTTGTTTTGTTTTTCTTTTTATTTATTGCCTTCAGTACTATTAATTCACTCTATAACATGGCCAGCATCTGATAGCAAAACACAGCTGGACATATTAAAGAAAACACTTTCCAGTGTTGTGCCGACAATTAATGAGATAAGAATCACAGGCGTACGTGTTAAGTGACCATTACTGTATTTAAAGCTTGCTGTGAAACAGATCTAGATTGTAGAAGACAAGGTTTTAAACAGGGAAAAAGAAATTGGAGCACAAAGTTGTCCGCTGCTGAAAAAAATTTCCCTTGAAGCAATTGAAATCTTTTTTTGCTTGCACAAGAAATAAGAACTTTAATTTAAAAATTGTTTTACTGGTACATCTCATTTCTTTGAGATTAGTAGTTGGTTTACTGTGACCTCCTTTACTGCAAACTTCTCGCTTTGTTTACAATCATAGGCAGTGTTCTCTGTGTTGAACGATTCATCACTAGCGCGGGAAACCTGCTCTGTTCACTAGCATAACAGCGCAAGAATTAGTTTATTTATATACCACCGGCACGTCAATCTTTTAAAAATAACCTGGTTTGTACAATGTTCAATTTTGTGAATTTTCTTTAAAAAATTGTTTTCAAAATACTTCTTATTATATAAAACATTTATTGATATATAAATCAAAATTTTGTTTGCAGGATATGTCACTTTTGTTGACCGCATGTCCCTAACACTATTTTCTTTTGCGGATGGACACAAATTCCAATAAAATTGATAATAAATATTTATGTTTATAAACACTTCAAAGCATATCAGGAAACATATTCTTGTTCTGTAGATAATGAAAACTGTAAATAAACCAATATTATACAAGAACCCGAACGCAAAATACTCAAATGAAAAAGTGATTAGTTTCGATACATTGGGGAATCCCTTACAAGTCACATAACATGAGTTGATACCATCAACTCGTAAAAATACACATGAACATTTCAATTATCCTTTATAATATATCTTTCAGGTACTGCAAGCCTCCTTTCATGACCTTGATTATGCGTCTGTATAAGTATGTGGATCAGTTCTACAACTGTATAACTGTACCAGAGAGGGCAGCAACAGCAGAAACACCCATCTCATTTGCCATCTATTAAAAAAAAATATGGGAAAAATGAGTATTGCCCATTAAGTAAATTACCTAGACAGCACATTATTCATTACTGTCTGTTGATCGAAGTGACACAAAACAGTTTGGAAAGGATTCTGGAAAGGGCGGTTGTGCTCAGAAGAGCCTGGGATGCTTTACTCTTTCATGGACTGTAAAGTTTCTGATCGTAGGGGAAAAGACAAACCTTTTATTATCTGGTCTGACACAAGGTTTGGTGAGGCAGTGGTGATATAAGCTATCGCAAATATAGAATTTTATGGGCATCCTAACACTTAAACAAGTAAAAGATTTGAAGCCTGCAAGACAATCAATATTCATCATTAATTATTATTCATAAATAATATAGTAAGTATATGAATATGACTTATAATAGAGTGATGATAATTTAAAGATTTCATTATAACTCCCATACTCACAGTGTAGAGGTCCTCATCTCCTGGGCATGGTTTTGGTTTGTCAAGAAAACCCAGCCAAATTCGAAACTTCTCAAAATTGCTGAGTGGTTTTTCCTTACTATATCAATGAAAACGACTCATTGTAATATAAAGTTACATATTATAATATGTAAGAAACTAACTTTGAAAGTAAGGAAAAGATTGCTTTATATTGGGTTCCATGAAATATACTGGAATTCAACGGCACTCCCCATCGAAAATTTTAATTGAAATGCATTGTATACATTTCTTGGTTATCATATAATCAAATTAAAATACAGAATGGGTATATTTCCCCAGGTATGTTTTACTTACCAACAGAAGTACTCTCTGTGTTTGGCCGTTATGACCAGCAACACAAAAGACAACACTGTAAGGATATACGCTCTTTTTGTCCAGTGGAATGCATAGAAAGCCATGTTTTAATGCTTGAAAACTATCACACAAAAATTCAGTGGCGCAAATCAGCGAAGATTGTTTTTCACAGAGATAATGCAATGACGTCACAATGGGTAAAGGTTATTGTTACGTCACAAACAATTATGACATAACAAAAATGAAATCAACTACCGTTTTGGTGCCCAATAAGGCTTTTATATTTAACCTACAATATTTAACTAAAGTTTCTGAAACAAGGCAGATATATAACCATATGAATATTTAGTAAATTGAAATTCAGTATAGATACTTGCGCAAGTTTCCAATGAAATAAAATAAAGAACAATAATTAAGCTCAAAAGTCTAGAGGAAACACAGACATCTAAAAACACCAGAGGTGGGATCAGGTGCAATGGATGTGTAAGCATCCCATGTCTACAGGTCACACCCGCCGTGTGCTTTTTGTCATGATCGGGCAAACGGAAAATCCGCAGACAATTCAATTTGAAAACAATTGCCTAACATTTTGTATGAAAAACATAGGTCATCATTCGATTTCTTATTCATCAGTAGTTTTTTTGTTTTAGAAATTGTTCCTACGTAGAGCATGCTGTAGCGTCAGGGACGTAGCATCGTTTTTGAAATGAAAGGGGGGGGCAGCCAGAGAAAAAAATTTCAATTTACCAGGAAAAAAAAAACTTGACAAGCAAAAAAAAAAAGGAAAATTGTCCGAACTCGAAAATCCTATTTCGTGGGGGAGGGGGGGGGGTTGTAGGTAGGTTCCAACTTCTTTCTTACCAAATTTTATTCATACACTACTACAAAACTCATATTTGACTATTCTACAACAAAAAGTGGGGGGGGGGGGGCAACCGGCCTTTCAATTAACAGAGCGTATCGAATAAACTGGGAGACATAAATATGACATATTGCTAATAAATAAGAAAAGTTGACGATAGCAGAGTTGAAGTCATCAAATTTATCATAAAGTTTTGTTGTTATGTTGTCATTGATTAACTCTTTTTCTAGTAAAATACCCAAGCATGAAACAGATGCATGTGTCAGACTCTGTGTCTTTTATTTCGAGTTTTTTTTTTATAATACATGTATACATACATTTTTAAATTTCAAAGTTGCAAAGTGGGGATGTTACGGGCAACAAAATATTAGCCAATCAAAAGAACTATATAAAAATTATTTAGATTGGGGGGGGGGTTACGTAAAATTTAAAAATAAGTCCACCAAATGAAAATGGAAGCTTTTGATTTATTTATGTGTGTATGTAGGTTTTGTTTTATTTTTTAAAAAAAACCAAAATATACGGTCCGGAATCCGGTTTTCTCTTTTAGTCTTCATCAATCATTTCCAGTTTTGAGTTGGTCAGGCCTAGTAAACCAAAATTGGCAAAAAATCTTGAAAATGCCCGTAAAATCTATTTCTGTCTTGTGTATCTAAATGTTGGTTATGTCTTAGCAAAGACCATCGAGGACTCTATAGCAGTGGAGCTCGATACAGGTATACCTAGTTTTGTAAACTATTTTTCAGTGTTGATGTGCATATAAGTATCCTGGCACGATCACAGGTACCTTGAGTACATTGGTTTATAAACTTGTATGCCTATTGATATGTAAAAAAAGAGTGTTTTTACATATCAATAGACCAAAGTACCTGTACCACCTCAAACTCGTATTTTATTATAAATTTGTAACAAGGAAGGAGAAAATGTTGTCGAAATTTTTAAATCACTGTCAGACATTTGGTCTGACAAAGTCAAATGTTTATTAGACCTAATACATCTACTTTATTTTGTACATTGAGAAAGGAAAATAAATAAGATTTTAACTGCACCTTAATGTCCTTTATATTTTTCAACAGTCTTCAATCTCATAAGTTTCTTTTCTTTGGACCAGGAATCAAGCCCAGAACCCCTGCATCACTAGTTGTGTGGTCCCCACTTAGCAGTCTGATATCCTGGCCCAAAACATAACATTTCACTTTCCTTAAATTGTCTTTGCCCTTGAAGACACAACCTATGTTCTTATTGTCCCTGGCATGACTTTCACATGCAAGTTCAGCAGTGGTCAACAGTACCAAATTCTGTAATGGGAAAGGAGAAAATGTATGGCTGAAATGAGAATCGAATCCAGAACCCCTGCATCACTAATCCTCAGACCCTAACTTCTCTTTCAGCATTGTATATATGATACATGCATATATATATATATATATATATATATATATATATATATATATATATATATATATATATATATATATATTTTTTTTTTTTTTTTTTTTTTTTTTTTTTGGAAAATATCTGCACTCCAAATTTTACAATATGTACATGTACAAACATTGATAATAAGAAAGTACAACAACAAAGTTATGCAGAATACATTTTTTTTAAATTTAGAAAGAATAACACATAAACTATGGAGATTACAATTATTTTATTATTTAATAAAAGCAATGTATTTTTAATTTCATTTTTTCCATTGGTAACAATTTTTAACAAAATTACAATGTAAATCCCAAATGAAATTTTTTAAGTGGGTATATATTGAATACGGTTACAGTCAGGTTACCTTCAAAACAATAAAATTTAATCCCCATTTAACCATTTTAGATCTGAAACAAATCAATGAAATTTTATCCCCACAAAAATTTCTGCTTCTGCAGTATTTGAAAATTTACAGTACATCAGTGCATTTGTTTGGGGGAGAAAAAAAACCTATAAAACCTACCCTAAACTCTCTGCATACCATATAGTGTATGAATTTCTGTAATTTTTTACAGGTTTTGAAGAGAAGGTGCCACCAAGAAATGCTGGATGAGGCGGAGGATGATCTTTAAGTTTGGTCTGACTGTCATTATTGTGATCGCTGTTTGTATGTTCTATTTGATTCATCAGCAAAATGATGAACTTAGCCCAGAACAGCCCTCAGAAAATGACAGCATTGTTGGAAATCAGTCAGGAAGAACTGAAGAGATTAGTGCTGAAGAAAAATTAAGAAAGGCTGAACTAGAAAAGTGAGGATTATCACTTAATGACCACTTTCTGTGAAAATGATTTTTTTTTTTCAAAAGTTCACTATTTTGGTCAAATTTCTTTAGAAAACATTTCCTATACCAAGTAGTTAAAGCATTTATTTTCTATATGATTTTTTTTATATTCATTGAATTTGAAATTTCAAAATGAAAAAAGTAATCAATGATAATTATGCAAGTTGTAAGCCTAAACTAATACAGGTTTTTTTAATGTACATGTATCCTCTGTCCTATATACTAATGATTGTCTCCATAGCCAGTAAATAGGTACTTATTGTATTATCTTATGTTAGGTTTTCATTGTCCATGTATCAATAATTACCAATTCTACATAGAATATGTACCAAAATAACAATAGATGTTTCCACATGATACCTCATTTTCCTCATTGATTTCATTTTACTCGAAATCCAATAGAGAAATAAGAAAATAAATTTGTTACAGGAAAGCGAAAAGATGGAGAGAGAGTATCCACCTTTCCATTGTTGTATGTGGTGACCGTGGGAACGAATCCATCATTCTCATCAAGTCTGCCATCCTCTTCACCAAAATGTACATCATCGTCCACATCTTCGCTGAAGATGACTTACATTCCTCACTGCAGCAACAGGTGGTTGCTGCTTTTTCAAACTTGCAGTGATTTTCATGTACCTTGTATTAGTTCTATTTGTTGATTCATTTCATTGTTTTTCCATATGAACAAACATATGTTGGAGCATATTTTGAAAGACAAAAAGTTATACCGTATAAGCAGAATTTTTAGCAAGGATTCAATTTTGGCATTATTAGCAAGGGTTTTTGATATTGCTAAAATTGATTATCATTAACATTTATTCCATGTCTCTTGTTATAGCTATCTTTCTTGACATTATAAAATCACTAAAATTGCTTCATGCTAAAAATATATACCAATTTTTGGGATAAATCACTTAATTTGCGTCTCACTAAAATTCCACTTATACAATATATTCACATGAAACTAGTGTAAAATAAGATTGCTTAGAATCCAACAGGTACAGAGCTGTTATATGCCTGTACTCCTTCATAGTTTTGCTATTAAAAAATGTCAAGATTATATGTAACATTATTGAGATCGATGAGGATGAATTTTAAACTAAGAGCTTTCAATTTTCAATATTATGAGATTTTCCCCCTATTTCTTCTTTTAAAAAGTGAGGTTTTATATTTTGGATGTTTAATAAAATTTCTTTTTACAGCTTACATCATGGCCAAGTAAAGCTAAAACCAAATTTGAATATCACTTATATGGTATAACCTTCCCCGACTCAAATAATGAGTGGAAGAAGCTTTTTAAACCTTGTGCCTCTCAACGACTTTTCATTCCAGTAAGTGTATTAGTTGTAAAGAATTAATTATAAGAATCAAGTAAGTACATGTAGTTAAAGATGTCTATGTTTAGGAAATTCTACATTTTTGAAAAGTTTAAAAAAAAATAAATTACAGAATATCATGCATGAAATCTGGGCTGAGATTCAGTTCTGCTTGATATTTGGTCTAATGCCTTCACAGAAAAGGCATCAATGGAAATATCCAGCAAAGCCGAGTCTCGGCTGAGATTATCTTGCATGATGACCTCTTCTTTTCTTCATAGAATCATTAGTAAGTATCTTGTCATGACTAAATTAAATTAATCTGAATAATTATATTAATTCAAGTTTAAAAAAATGTGTCTGTTTTTTCCTGTACAGTGTATTTTATCCTGTTGATAAAGTGGTGGAAAAAAGTTAACAATTAAGTGAAAGCTTGCTAAAATGAGTACAGAAATGTATTTAAAACTAAGAGTAATTTCTTTCCAGTCTCTATTAACCAATGTGGATTCTGTGCTGTATGTTGATACAGACATTTTATTTCTGTCTCCACTGGAGGAAATCTGGTTTCATTTTACCCGGTTCAACAGTACCCAGCTGGTTGCCTTGGCTCCAGAGAGTGAAGACAGGCAAACTGGCTGGTACAATAGATTTGCTAGGCACCCATATTTTGGAGAATTAGGTAATTTTCATTTTATGACAGAGACTAGTTAGTGAGTTTCAAATAAGTTAATAAATTGTACTACAAAATAGAAAATGCTTTTAAAAAATATTCATATTCTTTTTCAGGGGTCAATTCCGGTGTGATGTTGATGAATTTAACAAGGCTTCGAAACTCTACTTGGCTTCCATCTATTGTGAATTATTACAAAGAGTACAAACTAAAAATAACCTGGGGGGATCAGGATCTCATCAACATCTACTTTCACTTTCATCCAGGTAAGAAAGGAATCTCAAAAATAATTCTTATATCCGGCTAACTTGGGAAAAATTCAAAACAGAGAAAGTATTTCACTTAGGCATAGGCTTTTAAATTTATTTCACTCACTAATTTCAGATGGGTATTAAACCCCCGCTTTTTATTTTTTTTTTGCCACAAGGCATGTACATGTAGTAACAAATTCAAGATATTTTTTCGGGTATGGTGTATGTATTTACTTTTGAGAAGAATAAAATATGAAAGAAAATGAAGGCATTATTTATGCTGTAACATATGCAGAATTTAAAGTAATTAGTAAGCATCATACAGTGTACATGTATTATAATTTCTAGTCAGAGTGTAAATAATTATGAAGTTCATATGCATCCATAATGCATCAAAGTAATTAGTTTAATGAATTTAGACCTTGCATGGTCAGTCTAATGCTAATGCACAAAAAAACATTTGTAAAGTTCACTTAGTTATCTATGCATAAAGCAAATCATATACCTTTCCTTTTTTTATGATATGGTGATGTCAATTTTTTTTATCACAGATGAGCTCTATGTTTATCCATGTGAATGGAACTATAGACCTGACCACTGTATGTATATGAGTGTGTGTAGGGGTGCAGAACGAAGTGGGGCATATGTGCTTCATGGTAATCGACGAGCAATGCAAAATGATAAACAACCTGCATTCAAAGCTGCTTATTCAGCATTTAAAGAAGTAAGTGCCCCTACTTAAATGGTGATTATTTATTATGTTAAAACTATTTTTAAAAACAGATCAAGAAAGATTTTAAAATAATAGATTCAATATGCATTTATTATACTTAAGTAAATTTTATGAGAGGTGAAGACGTATGGAAGTATTTCTAATTTGAAAATATAGTGTACATTTATATGTAGAGTCAAACTCCATTATCTTGAACTAGACTGGACTGAGATTAAAATTCAAGATATCATAAAATTCAAGATATCATAAAATTCAAGATAACAAGGTTAAAAAAACAAAAAGAAAGAGAGGCTGGGACTGCTATTGCACTGCAACAAATCTCTGGTATTTTAGATATCAGTGTTTGACAAAACAAAGTTTGACAGTCTATGAAAAATAAGCCTTTCATAGGCTATTCTTTACTGTCACATTGGGTTAATTGTGTTATGCAAAAATATTTGTGAATAATTCTGCTGTTATGCTATTGATAGCATCAATAATTTTTCCTCAAGATAGACTGTGTCATTTTGCTTTTTCCCCCCCTTTTTCAGTATGACTTCCATCAGAAAATGAAGACGTTCCTCCTGCCTCCTCTCCAGGAGAAACTCGAGGCTACAGCTAAGACTCCGTGTGGACGTGTCAGACATATATTTTCAACCAGAGTTGCTCAATTTGTTAATCATGCCGAAAAATGACTAACTTGACTTGTGAAAAAAGGAATGCAAAGCTGGTATCATAGATTTTTAAAATTTTGCAAAAGATTCAAGATGATAGGTTTCCCTTTCAATGGTATACATATACATGTATATATAACATTAATATGTGGAATTTGGAGGTAGTTTCAAGATCAACTATGATTTGTCCTCATTGTATTTTTTCTTTGTAGCACAATAATGTAGCCCTCTCCCTTTTTTGTTTTCTTTCTTGGTCAGAAAGCCCTCTCCTAAAAAATATCAGATAAAAAAAATAGAGAAGACTACATTATTGCAGCTATTTCTTTTTGGGGGGAGGGGGGTTATGTCAAATAATCAATGTAATACAATGAGGGATTATTTCTTGTTCAGACCACAATCTTGACTTTCTTTATAAAATATCAGTTAGATCTGACTTACTGTGAAAATTTGTACTGTCTCCTGCAGAATACCTGGTATTCGCTGATAATGATTCAGTCTTATATCTGAATGTGATATTCTTTTATAGACAGATAACTTGATTTTATTTGTTTTGTCTCTGAAATATAGTGTTCATTTCATTTACTGTTACTAGCATATCATTTACATTTTGCTTGACTGATTTTGTTACACAGTAAAGCTGTATTTATTTGCAAGATGTAAAAATTATCACGCATTTTGTCTTGCCTGAAAGTAATACATGTAATTGCTTTGAAAATGATTTTAAAATAAATATTTTGTTAATCAACACAGAGATAAAAGGGATTTATGCTTCTCTACAAAATACGTGATATTTGAAACAAATGCTATTTACTACTTAGCATTTTTGGAGAACAAAAAGTACAGTCAAAACGTTGTTACTTCAAACTTAATGGGACAGAGAAAAAAACAGAGAGATATTCAATGACTGGAGATATTGAGGGAAACATATTGATAGTTCGACTGTAGTTTCAAACTACATTTGTATTATAATACATGTATATAATGTCAAAAAGGAAAACATCATATCAAGGGTGAGAAGACGAGAAGAGCAGATCATTACCCTTGGCTAGAAAGGTGCCTACCTCTGAAATCTGAATGATTTCAGATGGGGGCTTCTTCACTAGCAAGGATGATCCGCTCCTCTTATAGGTGAAAAAGAGAAGAGGAGTGGATCATCACCCTTGGCCAGTGAAGATGCCCCTTCTCAGATCAGTGGTTATTGTTAATGATAGGATGGATTCTTTGTACCAAGGAAACTTTTTACAAGTATGCAAAGATCGTCACCCTTGGCTAGCAAAGATGGAAAGGAGGAGGGGTTTAGAGTATTTTTTCTTGACATTTACAAAGCAATCAAACTATTTATGGAATGCACAAGGAAATAATGTGAATAGGCGTTATAATGCGAAATGAAAAGGTTTTGTGATGTGAATACACGTTAAGGATGACATTTACTGAGATGACAAAAAATTTCACTGATAGGAATAAAATACCAGTACCACCTATTGTAAATTGTAAACCTATGATTATAGTGTTATAATTCACTTTCAAATAACTACATATAGGTCAATGACATACTTATAATTTGGCTGCTTTGTGTCCCATTATTTTCAGCTCACCTTTACGAAGTCGAGATGAGCTTATGCTATACCCCCAGCGTTGGCGTCGACATTAGCGTCGGCGTCCCGGTTAAAGTTTTAGGAGCAAGTCCATTCCCAAGTAACTATAAGCCCTTCCTGGACCAAACTTCCATGGATGATACATCTAGGGATGGACACTACCAGATTTGCTTCGGATGCTGGATCTGACCTACATTTTTCAGATGAGTGACCATGGCAATGTTTTTGGAGTAGCTCTATAATTATATGGCCTGTTACGATTAAACTTGAATGGATGATGCATCTAAGGATGAACAATTCTAGACATGCTTTGGATGTAGGAAATGAAAGACATTTTCTTGATGAGTGACCAGGTTAAAGTTTTTGGAACAGGTCAATTCCCATTGAACTATAAGACCTACTTGCACAGAACTTGCATGAATATTGTTTTCAGGATGCACACTAACTATAAAGAAAATATGATATATGAGATTTGCATTACATATACTGATAACATCCGTCGAGGTGAGCTTCGTAATCTATGATTACCTATGTTTTAGTTGTATGTGAAACTTCATACATGTACATCTGTTGTTCAAATAGTTTAATTACTTAAATATTCACCTAAAATTAGGCTGTGTTTGTTCATAAATATCAAATTCTGACCATTCAAATTGATCAGAATGGTCTTTGATAAAATTATTCCAAGTTCCATTTTTTACCAAAACTGCATTATATTACTTTGTTCTCCGTACCCAATGCGATGCCTATGTTCAGGGATCTTCAAAAGAGAATAAACACGAATTAACAATCCTTGATTGATATAATGTTTATTGTTTCTGGTATGATTTATATATATGTGACGTGATTAACTTGGTATCAGATTTTCCGTTCCGCGTTTTAGCAACACCTATACCCCCTCAATAATAAAGCCTTTTCAACGCGTTATAATGTCTTCCTAAAAAGGTTTAATATTTACATTTTCTCTGTGTGCAAGGACACTTTTTCATACAATTTCGTTTATACATTGTTAATATAGACTGGCATTTCGACTTTTACGCGTACGACTTAAATTTATAATTACCCATTGTAAATTAACTGTGAAATAAATTTTATTTAAGAATATTTCATTTCATCACATGTTGAATATTCCATGTACGAGTGAATAAATCCGCACATATTCACACTACGTAATCCGCACACTTATGAAAGATAACTCGTGCTCATGAAAGATAACTCGTGTTCGCCTACCTGTACATTGTACCATCTAGCGTTAACCTTTTGGGTTTTTGTTACGCTTTGTTACAACGCGAAATGTAATAACAGCGCAAAATGTAATAAACCGGGATTATTACATATTGCATTATTACATTTTGCGTGGAAATCAACTCAGAATGAAATAACGCAAAATGTAATAAGAAACTTTAGGAATATTACATTTTGCGTTATTACGTTTTGCGTTGATGTCAACTCAAAATCTAATAACGCAAATTGTAATAAGATATTTTTTGGATTATTATAATTTTAGTTATTTTGCGTTTAGTTATTAAGCAAAACGCAACAATTCAAAATGTAAAAAAAACCCCCACTTTTTGATCAGTCAGCCTCAGGTTGAGAATAATTTCATACCAATGATAATTTTTTGCTTTATTATTAGCCGTTTCCTGATCTACGAAATAATGCAATTAAGTTCCATTTCGAGGGATCAAATTATTTCCTGGCTTTCAGACATAACAGTTTTTACCAAAATGCAAAAGGACATGCCCGTGTCTTGTGTTTACGTACATGTATATTTGAGTAACTAGTATTTGATTCGTCAATTATATCATTGAATAAATTCCATCGATTTTAAATCATCTTTCCGTTCAGTACTACTAGTACCACTCAGTGGATATACATTTTTATGATAGAAGCTTGCAATGCAAAAATTTACTAAGAAACAAAAACTCAAATTCTATGAGACAAAGCTTTATTTATGCACAAACAAAGGAAATATACATGTATATAAAATACCTTAAACGCATTTCATACTCCTAATTGACTTATCCACTTCGGCACAACACCTATTCATATTTTATAATATTAAAGATATGTGTAAATCAATTTTATGATGTTTTTGTGTTGAACACAATACAGAAAAATTATTATGTATTGTGTTGTTATATTTTCATTTTATTACATTTTGCGTTGCCCTCAACGCAAAAATTAAATAACGCAAAATATAATAATCAAAAAGTACATTATTACATTCTGCCCTAATCTCGACGCAAATGTAATAATACAAAATGTAATAATCCTAAAAAGTCTGTTATTATATTTAATTTGTATTATTACATTCTGTATTGATTTCGACACAAAACGTAATAACGAAAATGTAATGATTCCAGTTTATTACATTTTGCGTTGTTTTTACATTGCGCGTTGTAACAACGCTTTCTGAAAGCATAATAGCGCCTTTTTGCATTATTACACCTTTTCTGCTTTGTAATGCTTTCGACCCCCACCCCGAAGTTTGCTTTCAAAAGGCTTTTGTAAATATGCTTATAACTGCGTCGCGCGTAAAGAGTGGGGTTTGAGTGGACGAAGCACCTGCTTAACAATGCGGAATTGACCACAAATAGACGGCGCGATTATACTTCACACAATTTATCTTAGAAATATGAAAAAAACATTTGTGTTGGACATCAAATTTTCTCAGTCGAAAATTTTAAAGAGATCATTGCTATTTCATTGTGCTATCTGACTATAAGCCATTTTAATATCACATTCAGGATATTCGTGTTTCACAATATTGCTGATATTAAATATAACATAAGTTACTCTCATCGTATTGATTGAAAGAAATACATATTTCCAATAATCTGAATGAACAAAAACACCCAGAACAACAAAAAATCAAACGCTGCGCAGACAGACCTCCAGGTGACAAGGCGTTCGATTGTTTTTTCTTTAGAACTCAACTGACCGTCGTCTTGTGGTATTCGTCGCGAACACTTTTTCTTGCAGTTCAAGATGTGTACAATTTTAACCATCTTAACAAGGTGGCTGGGCACTTCCTTGCTGTTGTTATTGTGAATAGTTCGCAATAAGACTGCCGTACAGAGTATGGAAATGACGCCAAATACATATTGATAAATGATGTAATAGCTCAATATGGACATTTTGTCCGAGTTTGCGGGTACTTTGTCTACAAGAATTCCGATGTATACATTGAATGACAGGAGAATGGCTACAGAATATTGTAACTTCTCGCCGGCGTTGGCAGGAACAATAAAAACAAAAACATTTAAGAAGCCAATCAGAACAGTTGGTATGATGAGATTAAATACAAGAAACTTGGATTTCCTTTTGGCTTTAATTGTGCACGTTACTGATGACCTTGTTAACTCTGAAATCACCTCCACATTGGTCCATTTAGTATTTACATTTTCCATGGTACAGTCACCATATATATACACCTCCTTTGGTTTACTGGTAATTTCAAACGAACACTCTTGGGTATCGAAAGGAAAGTAAGTCATATCAATGTTGCAATGAGATTTAAACAGCTTTCTTCCATATACATTTATAACCCCTGATTCATAAAATCCTTGCCCAAAAATGTGTGAAAAACTTCCGATATTTGATTTTTGTCCAATGGAGTTTCGCAGCAAGATGTTGGGTGTCCATATTGAAAGCTCTTTTTTGCTCATGAAGACGTAATCTAGTGGAAACTGAGTAGTATTCCAACCAATACGATCATCTTGCCAGGATAGAAAAAACAATGCGTTTACTTCCATCTTGTTTTCTATGTCATGGATTTCAAAGTCTTGGATAATGAAATAAACAAATGCCCCTGTCAACATGGACAGATCTAGTGTTGGTCTTATGTCCACACGTTTCGAGCTTTGATCCAATTTCTCTAGAAAAACACTTTGAACATCAGAAAACGTTCCATTTCTACCTTGACAAAGTTGTGGTAATAATAACAGAATCCAAATAAAAAGCATTTTTGTGTTTAGACTCGATGTGTTTAGATACACTGGTTAAATGTATGTATTTTGTCTGTATATACTGACTGTTGTCTGACCAGGCACTTTATCCCCGGTTATCAATTATGAATGTATGCATGAAAATCAATAAA